AATTAAGTAGCCGTTCAAATTTTATATATTTTGAGATGTGACACTGCGAACCTTTTTTTTTTATATGCCCTTATAACCGATGCATTGAACATTATTGGTTACCATTTAGGTGGGTGTTTACTTTTTTTTAAATTTGTGTATTTTCCCGTTCTTGTATATATTTTCTTGATTTTTTGTTATTAGTAACTTTTTTTTTTGTTTTTGCTTTTTGTTTTATCTTTCTTTTGATCACCTAGCATGTTTTCTGGTTGGATTACACACACACACACACACATATATATATATGTGTGTGTGTGTGTGTGTGTGTGTGTGTGTGTGTGTGTGTGTGTGTGTGTGTGTGTGTACAAATAATTATTTGCATAAAGAATAGAAAATATGCCACAAGCCCAAAAATGCGGATGTCGAGGCCTTGTTTTCACTGTTTTCTTTTAACCTCACAAGTGACAATCAGTGAAACAAATAAGCAAATATTGTTCCAGGTACCAAAGCATCGCATTTGCACTTATTCTTCTATGTCCCGTGTCAATTCAAGGCCGTTGGTGAACATGGCTCTCTATAATTTCCTTTCCTTATTCGCCATTTTGTTTTGTTTTGTTGTTTTGTTGTTGTTTTTTTTTTTTCATCTCCCCCCAAAAATTCTACCCGCCATCCATTTGCTCAAGCTCGCTAGATAGATTATGCGTTGCTTTCCACTGGCTTCTTACCTGCCCTGTGAGCATCAAATTTACAAACCCTTTTCCTCATTATGTCGCCCAGAAATTTTAAGTGTCTTTTCCTGGTGTGAAGAATAAGTGTAATTCTTGTAGCAATTGTCTCTAGAATTTCATCGTTGCTCAAATGTTCGGTTCAATGTATTCTCAGCATCCTTCTGAAGAACCACATTCCTGTTACTTCAAGTCTCTTCTTCATCTGTGAAAAGATTGTCCAGCAAACTGCCATATAGGGAGCCTGATACAACATAACAGTTCAATACAATTTTCTTTCTTTCTAACGATATATCTTCTGTTTCTTAATATCTTCCTCAGCTTTTGGAAATCATCTTTCGCTATCACAATGCGCCTTCGGAGTTTAGTGTCGCACGTTCCACACGACAGACTCTACCAGTTTTTTTCTCATAACTTGTCACATACATACAATTTTTGATGAATGATAACGATAACAACCTTGAAAATATAACCCAAAATGAATATTTAAATACGTGCGCGCAAATATACACGTGTACAGGGTGAGATGGGTAAATTGTTGTCTACATTTAAAAAAAAATGAAAATAATACTGTCATCTCATTTAAACATAAATTTACCAAAATTACACAAAAGTATCTTGAAATGCTAAATTTATTTAATAAGATCGCCAATGACAACAACCACGGCCTCCAGACGTCTTCGGAATCACCTGCAACTCTACTGGACGGTCTCCTTGTTTAAGTAGGTGAATGCTATTATGATCCTTGCCTTCAGTTTATCTTTGGAGTTACAAGAAGTTTTGTTTGTCTTTTGCTCAACTGCGCCCCACACATAATAATCAAAGGTGTTGCAATCTAGGGAGTTAAGTCGCCAGTTGTAAAGGGTGTTGTGGTCGCAGAAATTAACAGCCATAACTGGATACTCCTGCTTGTGTGGCATGCTGCAGAGTCCTGTTGCTAGACACAGGGCCTTTCAGCAGCCACCCTTTTGACCCAGGGCAGCACAAACCCCTCAAAGTCTTTGATGTAGGCCTCCGTGCTGAATCTGAGGCTCTGTAGGAAGATGGATGGAGGCATAATGTCGCCATCACTATTGACCACACCAAACACCCCCGTAATCACCATTAGTCACACCCAAACTCTATCCAAATCCTCTGTACTCTACTCAGATTGAGATCCAAACACTCTGAAATGTTCGTATTTGAGATTCCCGTGCGAATGCCAAGCAGTATAGCATGCCGTTTCCAAATTACGTTATGGTGCTCGTTTTTCTCACAGACGGAACCCAACTGACCCTACTATATATTCATTCGACAAAAACAAAAAAAAACAACACACATGCACGAAATTAAAAATATAAAACAGCGACAATTTACCCATCGCACCCTGTACATATATAGAAGTGTGTGTATAAGCACATTTGTAAAATTATGGGAATTTATGAGAACATTTATGCAATTTTTTAACTACATGCACACTTGCAGCAAGTGGAAAATTTTGAATTAACAAGAATATATCGATAAGCCTGACACAGATATTGTCAGAATTATAACCTGACATTTCTACTGCTTAATGTTCGAATTATATAATTAATGGAGAAGTATTAAGACAACGAAAGGGATTACTTTGAAAAAAGAATGAAATTATGTTGGCATGGAAAAAGATTATGTTGAAAATAAATATTTGTTGTGTAAATGGATACTTTTTTTTCATAAGGCTTACGGATTTATCGATGTACCTACTTATACTTACGTAGATAATATCTACGTTTAATGTAGCTACTTTGCTCCAGTGTTACAATAGGAGACTAGTAATTGAGAGAATAATTCATTTTCAATGATCTGCAGCCACATTATTTATATTCATATAATGTATCAAGTTATACGTATGTAAATTAATAATAGATTATTCATCGCTTCTAATTTAAAAAAATAAAATAAAAACAGAAATATATTTGTGTTTTAATCTAACTGGTATAACACCGATAAGAATGTACTTCATTTGATATATTTTAAATAGATCGTTACGTCTGCCTCGGAACACAATATTTATACACTTTGCCTAGAATCAATGTTTCGCTTACTCAGCCTTCTTCTTATGATCATTGTATTAATAGTATCTGTGCGTTCATCCTAACTTTGTACTTATAAGTTAATTTCACCGCCTAGCCCGAGCAGCAGGACGCTGGCATAATAGATATAACATCTATATGTTTGTCTCCAGGTTGGAAGTTCGAATCAACATATGTGTTAAACTTTTGATATATCGCTTTGCGGAACAGTAATTGGATATCTCTATATATTTTCGGGTGACAGACCATGTTAATATCAGACAGAATGAAAACAGCTGGATCCCCTAGAAAAGGTAAAAAAAATGCAGAAAGAAAGGAATAACTATCACCTGTAAAAAGACAGAAAGTATGGTTGTTTGCAAGAGAAAAAAAAAACAGATGCGAGTTACGAATTGGAGATGTCAAAATCAAACGATAGTGATGTTTAATTATCTTGGAAATGTTTTAATAGAGTATGGAAAGTGTAACACAGGAACCCAAAGGTGCACTGAAAAAGCAAGAGGTACTTTTCAAAAGCTAATCAAAGACTGTTGAATCAGAAATAGACAGTTGAATTTTTGGTAACACATAATGTGGAAAGAGGGACTGGAAAATTTGACACTCACAGGACATACTGAGAGGAAGAAGGGCAAAGGGTAACTGCAAGTAAACTAACAAACTTGAGCAAATGAATGACAGAAAAGTGACTGGGAATGATAGTAAGGGGATAAACATTAATTAAAGTTATAAATGATAGGAGGTTACGGAGAGCCATGATCTCCTACGTCCGGACGGTACAAAGCACGCAAAAGAAGAGTGACAGAATTTTTAAGCAGAAAATATCACACTGTTTTTATATATGATTAATCCAAATTCATCTCTTTTGTGATATCAACGAACACTCGTCGCCACTTTTGTGATGTCAACAAACGGAATGCAATGATTCACTGCAAAATCTACCCAAGTGCTGAAAACTAAGAGTGAAACTGTGGAAATTGAAGAAGCCTAATGCAGCACCCAAACTGCAATAAAACAAACTCCTGAGCAATCTTAACCTAAAAGAAAAATATATAGACAATGTGAAAAGAAGATATGGGGCACACAATGGAAACTCAAAATGGGATGCACTAAGAGAGGCTTTAGTGACATCAGCAAATGATATCATCCCAAAAGAGACAGGATGAAGAAGGAGAAACAAATGGATGACTGATGAGATTCTCAACATGATGGAAAGGAGACAGAAAACTCTGCCAAGATACGGAACGGAATACAGAAAATTACACAATGAAATAAGGACCAAATGCAGACAAGCTAAAGAAGAATGGCAAAACGAAAAATGAGTATAAATAGAAAGATTGAGTACTGCCAACAAAAGAGACAAGCACAAACAAATAAGACATCTAACAGGACAGAAGACATGCTCGTCAACAGGCTGTCTGAAATCAAAGGATAGAACGCTCATATTAGAGAAGGAAAACATTCTTCAACGCTGGGGCGAGTATATTGGAGAACTCTTCTACGAAAGGGAACACAGAACTACCGACAGACCTGGAATTCTGAAAACCGAAGTAAAAGACGCAGTGGCCAAATTGAAGAGAAACAAGGCAGATGGGCCAGGCGGAATTGTAACAGAAATGCTGACAGACTTAGATGACTTTGGCATAGACAAGATCACCGAAATAACAAATGAAATCTACAACAGCAGGGATATACCGGAAGACCGTATTCTGATGAATAGAGCGCGCAGCAGAATCAGGCCAGAGATAGGACAAGAACAGTGCGGGTTCGTTAAAGATACCGGAACAAGGAGCGCGATATTCATACTCACAATGTTATCGGAAAGAGCAATACAGATGCAGATGAACGTGCATCTATGTTTCATAGACTACGCAAAGGCCTTCGACAAAGCACGCCACGAGGATCTGATGGAACTGCTCAGCAATCTTGATATATTCTGGAAATACATTAGAATAATCAAGAACCTATACCGGTTAAAACCTTTAATGCAATATTCACTCGCAAAAAATATTATTATTACAATCCAACATATTTTTCGGCTTTAAATAACCTACAGAATGTTGATAAGGCGTAAAAACAAGATAAATTAATCAAAATCTCTCTTGTGATGAATGTCTTCAGACGTATACTGGAAAAAGACATGTGTAAGGATGTGCACATATACGTGTGTGTGTGTGTGTGTGTGTGTGTGTGTGTGTGTGTGTGTGTGTGTGTGATTTCTTATGACACAAACTGGAACCGAGAAGGCTTACGACCACATCACGTTGAAACATTGGTTCCCGTACGATCACCGAAGTTAAGCAACGTTGAGCCTGGTCAGTACCTAGATAGATGATGACAGGAGAATGGCAAATGCTGTAAGCTTGGAATTGTGGATGGTGTAATGGATAATGACTCAGGAATCATGGAGCTGAGTTCTAATTCCTGTTGGGTTCGTTATATTCACTTATGCGCAAATACACTTGGGAAAGGCATGAGTCCACCTCTTCCCTTCCCAGCTATGGGTTAATTTTTAAGACTTGTATCATTAAATTATTATTTAAAAAAATTCTTACAATATAAAATATTTCGTGGCTTTAAATAACCTGCAAATGGTTGATAAACCGTAGAAAACAAATCAATCAAATAGATATTTAGATCACTCTGGTTTTGTCGTTAATGTTATTTTATTTTCAGTTTCGCATGTATTTCTTTAATAAAAAGTCTTGTAATATGAATTCATGTCCTAGTATAAATGTAAGTAATATTATATGTAAAATCTACGATGACCAAGTGGAATAAGTATAGAATCTTATTTTCTGCAAGTATGTGAAGCGATACAGAAAAACGATGGCGATTTATAAGCAACGATTGCAGAACTATAGGCGCAGGAGAAGAGAGAAACGGAACGATGGATGAGAAAATATTCAATAAAGACTAGTGGAAACGTATTTTGGGACATTAGCTAAAAAAAGTCATTCAGTATTGCGATCATAATTGTATCTACACCTTCAACATAAAGCAGGGAAGAAAGAAATAAGTTTTACAACACACTTTCTTGTGTGTTGTAAAACCTATTTCTTTCTTCGATATATCAAAGTAATTACAAGATATTATTTTTATCACAGGGTAACTATCGGATTGTTATTTAGTTATTTTAATTGTAAATGATATGATGAGTCAGGTAATATAAACGATATGATGAGTCAGATGATATAAACGATATGATGAGTCAGATGATATAAATGATATGATGAGTCAGATGATATAAACGATATGATGAGTCAGATGATATAAACGATATGATGAGTCAGATGATATAAATGATATGATGAGTCAGGTGATATAAACGATATGATGAGTCAGATGATATAAATGATATGATGAGTCAGGTGATATAAACGATATGATGAGTCAAATGATATAAATGATATGATGAGTCAGATGATATAAACGATATGATGAGTCAGATGATATAAATGATATGATGAGTCAGGTAATATAAACGATATGATGAGTCAAATGATATAAATGATATGATGAGTCAGGTGATATAAACGATATGATGAGTCAAATGATATAAATGATATGATGAGTCAGGTGATATAAACGATATGATGAGTCAAATGACATAAATGATATGATGAGTCAGGTGATATAAACGATATGATGAGTCAGATGATATAAACGATATGATGAGTCAGATGATATAAATGATATGATGAGTCAGGTGATATAAACGATATGATGAGTCAGGTGATATAAACGATATGATGAGTCAGGTGATATAAACGATATGATGAGTCAGATGATATAAACGATATGATGAGTAAGATGATATAAATGAAGTTGAACAGATCGAATTGTTATTTAGTTATTTTAATTGTAAAAGTTTCCAATAAGAATTGATTGGATTAATACCACTTAGATGACAAACAATAAGCGAAGAAATTTAAGCTTTTTTTTAATTTGTTCAAAGGGAAAAAAACATAAAATTTGGTTTCACTAGCAACAGAGCATGAAGTATCAAAGTGATGAAGAAGGGATTTATGACTCTAATGGTGAAATCACTTGATAAAACCCTTCGCACTGTAAAGCTAAGAAACACTGCGTTTAAACTTACCCTCTTACGAAAGTTATGAATCTCGTTGTCAAATAACAATGTTCCCTATAGAATTTTTGACACTGAAGTTTCTGAAATAAATAAATCTATGCCTATTTCCTGAGATTATCAGCATGACCACAAGATGGAAACAACATAGATAATTAATAAAGAACTGTTGGCGTTAAAATTTAAAGATATACGAAAAGAACTCGAAACAAAGTTTACCGTGAGATGGTCAAACTTAGAGCGGAATCGTAATTCCAACAATTCCAGATTGAAATAAACTGCTATTTAATACTTCGAGTTCAATTACAGATAACTAAAAATATTTTTTTAAAAAAACGACATTCAGTATAATGTCAATTATAGGGTCAATTTAATTGTTCAAAGAATTTTTTTTCACAAATTAATGTTATGAAGTCAGTGTAACTCGCAATGTACTGTAGCGTGCAATCCTGCATTAAAAATATTTATCCTAAGGGGAGAAAGATAAAACAAAAGAAGGAGCATATAACAGTTGAAATATTCGATGTAATAAAAGAGATAATGCAAATTAAAGATAAGCAGCTAATAGAAATAGTGCAGATTATATATAAGATTAAAGAACAACACCAGAAATAAATGCAAGCAAACAAAAGATGAACTGCTTAATGAGCAAAGATTAAAAACTGCATAACACAGGTTAGCAGAATTATACCGTAAATAGGACAACAACAGAGTTGCTTTTTTCCAGATACTGGAACAATAAAAGCCATTTTTGTGATCAAAATGTTGTCATAGGGATTAATGCAATTCCTTAAAGCGAGTACACACACACATACATACATATATATATATATATATATATATATATATATATATATATATATATATATATATATATATAATTTATGGTCAAGGGTTAAATAAAACTCGTATCTCCCTTCTTTCATTTGCGTTCAAGTCGTGTGAAGATCGTGTGAGTGTTAAAATCGGGTTACGGCTAGGACCATCATTTCATAGAATTTAACGTTGTTAAACTTTTTTTTTACTCTGTCTGGGCAGTCTAGGTTCGAGCATTTACTGAGTAGGTAGTTTTGCGTTTAGTCCTTTTCCTTTTTCAATATTGTGTTTGTTCAAGAGTTAATCTGGAAAATAGTTTTAGGTTTGGCAAGTTGTCCATCGGTTCCATCAACAGTTTTGTTTGTTCTTTTAATATATATATATATATATATATATATATATATATATATATATGTATTACAAATGAAACGAGAACGAATCAAATATAAATGCAAACGTTCATAACATTAATTTAAAAATAGGGCTCAATACAACAGTAGAGCGATAATTCTTTATTATAGCATATTATATTCGAACATATGTAGGACCACTACATACATGCATTCATGTTTCGATGCGTATCATCGCATCACACTAGACGGTGGTAAATGATTGTTATTAAATTTTTTTACATTTATTTAAAACAATCACTTTTCCCGCGCAAAAAGGAAAAAAAGAAAATAAGAAAACCAAGAAAAAAAGAAATACAGAAGATATAGACTCATCTAAAAAGAAAAAAGAAAGACACAAGTTGTAGTCGAAAAAAGGAGAAAAGAAAGAAAACAAGATACAATGACTTGTAAAGAAAAAAGAAGGAAGGAAATAAGAGCTAGAAGTAAAGAAAGACACCAGATATAGTCTCTTCTCCTAAGAAAAAGAAGAAGAGGTAAAGATAAATATAAGGATGATATAGAAATTTAAAGAAGCTAGACAAGATATGTTGAGAATCTGTTGATCAATCAAAAATAGTAAGATGTTGTGAAGTATAGATTCAAAATAACGGATGCATACTATTTGAAATAAAATTTTGATACAATGTAACGACATATAAACGGTTGACATTTTCAGTGAAGATTTCAGCATAATTTAACAATAATTAATTAATAGTATGTAAATAAAAACCCTTTAAGAAATAAAAGAAGGAAATAACAGGAAAAATTTATCAAAATTACCAAACAGAAAATAGAAAATTAAATCAAAGAATGAAAAAATAAAAAATAAATAAATGAACTAACCAAACTTAAAAATACATAAATCATATAAATAAATCATATAAAAATAAAATAATAACATGATAATATGTATATATATGCGTGTGTGTGTGTGTGTTTGTGTATGTATAGTAGAAAATATATATAAATCTATTAGAAATTATCCTTTTTCTTTATTCAAATGAATATTTTTTCTTTCTATTATTCTTTATAATTATAATTTGTTCTCAATTAACTGGTTCACCTTGTATGTTTATTCAAATGAATAATTTAGTTTATCTTTCTATTATAGAACTTGCCAGACGCAAATGGAACTGTTCATTTCAGAGTTCTTTACTTTCCGTGAAATATGGGGGTAGACGATCCACCAGGACACGCCTGCTAACACGACGCATGACACAGCACCTGACCTGGGCTTGCGATGTCGTTTATTTGATCCTGAATAATTGAATGCTTAAAATATAATAAATACAAAATATGATTTACTTTTATTCAGTATAAAGAAAAAAATATTAATTCTACTTTACTGACTAGAGACATTATATATTCACAATAAGTTTACGTAAGAGATACAGATATATTTTTAAAAAAAAGTTTTTATAGGCAGACTCTAATGTTTGTATTTCTATATCAACAATTACATCAGATACAAAAATGTAGTCGTGTTGATCACTTAAAAGAAAGGTTAGACAAGAAAAATAAAGAGTAGCCATATTTTTCGAGACGATTCATTGGAAACAAATAGCTGACAGAAAACAAGGCGGAAGAAAAATTTGAAAAGAAAACATTTTGCATCTAGGATACGAAAAAAAATTAATACTAATTTCCATTGCTATACAAATATTGATGATTTCAAATCCTTTTACATCGTCTAAGTTATTTATTTTGGTTTAAAAGCAATATATACAATATAACAGTTTGTCAATACTCCTGTAACATAATAATGAAAAATAAACATTTGTAACCCAATAAATATTGATCGTTAGCACAATCTGCTTCCATTACAATTTATTTAGTTCAACGCTTCTCCATAGAATGAATAGACTGAACCCTTATAGAGCGAAAAATTCAGATCGTAAATTCAGCTAATAAGACTATGGAATTATTGATACACCTTCATATATGTTATGGTATGCATCCATTAACGAAAGAGACTCTTTTAAACAGGATATCCCTCAGCTGTCCTTGTGCCATATTCAACTCAGCTAATATCGTAAAAAAGAACGACGGCATAACTAAATAGAC